AGAATAATGGAAAGGCTTACCCAATAGGTAGCCCTAGGTGCCATATATATAATAAATAATGTTCTGAATACAATAGGAAACTTAATATTTAAGGAAACCTAATTAAAGTATTAATTGCTCTATTACACCCCCTCAATCTGTGCAGGGGAAACAACGCGCAGATTGTCTCTAAGAAAAATAAAACGCTGAGGTGACAAACACTTGGTAAATATGTCTGCCAAATCTCCATGTGAAACTCTCTCTCAAACAAAGTGATAATCAATACTGATGTGCTTGCTCCGAGCATGCTGAATAGGATTTGCGGACAGATATGAGGCCGAAATATTGTCACGGAGGAGCTTAACTGGCCGAGTAAGCGGAACCCCTAATTCAAACAAAATGGAGCGAATATGAAGAGTGTCCTGAACAGTGTATGCAATAGCCCGATACTCAGCTTCTGTGGAAGAACGGGACACAGTAGGCTGCTTCTTTGACTTCCAAGAAACCAAGTTAGGGCCGAAAAATATAGCAAAACCAGAGATGGATCTACTACTATCAGGACACCCGGCCCAGTCAGCATCAGAATATGCCTGTAAAATAGGAGAAGTATGGCTCGGCTGTAGAAGCAAACCGTGAGCTGAAGTGCCCTGGAGGTACCTGAAAATGCGCTTCACGGCCAAAAAATTTGAAGTACGAGGGGCATGCATAAATTGGGAAACCAGGTGAACAGCAAATGTAATATCAGGTCGAGTCATAGTTAAATACTACAAAGCACCTACCATACTTCTATACTCAGTAGGATCCGCAAGGAGATCACCATCAGTGAGGGATAACTTTGTTCGTGTAGGAAGTGGAGTACGAACAGGTTTAAGAGTATGAAGATGAAACCTGGTTAATAAATCAGAGACATATTTTTGTTGTGACAAAAACAGACCAGAGGGTAAACGAACAGCTTGGACACCTAGGAAAAAATGTAAATCCCCCAAATCCTTCATAGCAAAACAACGACCAAGACAAGAAATAAACGTGGAAATAAAGGTAGGGGAATTACCGGTAATAATAATGTCATCCACATACAGAAGGAGATAAATAATGTTCGACCCATGTCGGTAAATAAATAAGGAATTATCTGATTTGCTACAAACAAAACCATGAGTCAACAAAAAACTGCTAAACCTGTAAAACCAGGCTCGCGGAGCCTGTTTAAGACCATAAATAGCTTTCTTTAGACGACACACATGGGTAGGAAACTATGGATGAACAAAACCAGGGGGGTGACGCATGTGGACCTCTTCAGTCAGATTACCATGAAGAAAAGCATTTTTAACATCTAACGGACGAATGGTCCATTTGAAAGACACAGCAAGAGATAACACAATACGAACATTGGTGGGTTTAACAACAGGACTAAAGGTCTCAGAAAAATCCACACCAGCCTGTTGAGTAAATCCTTCCTTGAGCTACCAGACGTGCTTTATGACGCTCAACAGACCCATCTGAATTGAATTTGGTCTTATAAATCCATTTAGATCCGACCACATTTTTACGAGGATTAAATGGAACTAATTCCCAAGTATGATTATCAATTAGTGCATTAAATTCCTCAGCCATAGCAGCCCTCCATTTAGCATCTTTATTAGCTATAGAAAAACAAGATGGATCACATGCCGAAATATCTGTTTTGAGATTAAAAATAGATCTTGGTTTAAAAATACCCGATTTAGCACGTGTTTGCATAGGATGACAATTTATCAGGAAAAGTTCATGTGGTGAAGGGGGTTCGGACGGGCTGGAGCTGCTGGTAGGAGGAGAAGTAGTGGCGGATATAGCACTGGAGCGTTTGGATGGGGCTGTTGGTCTAGCAGGAGGAGATGGAGTGGTCTCGGCTGGGGAAGATGGGTTAGGAGTAGCAGAGAGCTGATGATTGTGAAGTGGTGGTGGTGAGGCCGAGCTTGTACGGCTGGGTATGAGTCGGCCAGGAGAGGCGGAGCTGCGACGGAAGTCTGCTAAGGTGGGGGAGATGGCCGCAGCAGGTAGAAAATTGCCGGTGGGCGAATGAAGACTGGCAGAAGTAACTGAGGACACTAGAGGCAGTTCGCTATTTTTGGCAGAGGAAACCAAGTCTGAATACGGAAAATAATTTTCATAAAATCGGACATTCCGATTGATGTAAATATTGCCAGTTAGAGGATCAAAACAACGATACCCTTTATATTCCGGAGCATATCCCAAGAAAACACATAAAACAGATCGTGGAGAAAGTTTATTGGCAGAAGTGGCATTAAAATTAGGAAAACAGGCGGAACCAAATACGCGCATAAAAGAGAGGTCAGGAGAATGATGAAATAATTTTTCAAACGGGGAAGCACCATTTAAATTGGGAGTAGGGAGACGATTAATAATATAGGTAGCAGTGAAAACAGCATCTACCCAGAATTTAGCCGGCATTTTTGCTTCTAAGAGCATAGTGCGGGTTAATTCAAGTAGATGTTTATGTTTTCTCTCAGCAACACTATTTTGCTGAGGGGTATCTGGACAAGATTTTCGGAATAAAATGCCATTTTGGAGAAAAATATCACGCATACCATAATTATCAAATTCACCCCCTCCATCACTTTGAAAAATTTTAATTTTGGAGTTTAGTAAATTTTCCACCATGGTTTTGAAATTTTTAAAATGACTCACAACCTCACTTTTATTGCGCATAGGATATAGCCAAGTAAATCGGGAAAAATCATCAATAAATAAAACATAATATTTAAAGCCACTTTCAGAGAGAACAGGAGACTGCCAAACATCAGAATGAATTAAATATAAAGGAGCATTGGAGTTATGCCAAACTTCTTGAAAAGGTAAACGTTGAGATTTTCCTAACCGACAAGAAATACAATCATGAGAAAAACTAGAAGTAGTAAGAATGGTCCCGGACTTCTTAAGCCTCTCTAAAATGCGACTACCACGGTGCCCCAAGCGACGATGCCAGACCGGTCCGGAAGCAACATGAGAGATGAAAGCAACTGGTGAAGGACGAGATAGTGAGATAGGGTAAACACCACCACTACTGGAAGCCTGAAGAAGAACCTTCCCCGAAATTGTGTCCTTGATACAAACAGAATTTTTATCAAAAATCACAAAACAGTTATTATCGGCACATAATCGTTGAATAGAGAGTAAATTATATTTTAAATGAGGAATATGATAAACAGATTTTAAATGGAGAGACTGAGGTGAGGTAGATAAACGCAGGTCACCAACAGTCATAACAGGTAAATTAGTGCCATTAGCAACCGTAACAGATAATGGCCCAGAATAAATGGATTTATTTTCCAAAATACCTTCATTCGATGTCATATGAGCGGAAGCACCGGAGTCAGGATACCAGACAGTCGGAGTAGATTCACCAGTAGAAACAGCCAGGGCGGGAGCTTGAGGTTGAACAAAACGAGAAGGACAAGCAATTGTGGAATGACCTGGAGAGTGACAGATTTGACAGACGACAGGAGGAGGGACTGAACCAAAATTATTCTCAAATGATGGAAATCCTGCAGAGGCATAGTTAGTACAAAAAGTAGATAGAGCAGGAGTATTAAACGATGACACAACGGAATCACAATAAACTGTACCAGGTGTACCCAAATTAGCCTGCTGCTGATAAGTTCCGCGACCAAAAGAACCAGGCTGCTGCTGTTGTGAAGGCTGGCCGAAGTGCACCGGAGGTTGACCGAACCCAGGTACCTGCTGCGGATGATAGCGGCCTCGACCTCCATAGCCTCGGCCACCCCTGCCTCGGTTACCGCGTCTGCCACCACGACCGCCACCACGATTGGGCTGCTGCTGTCCGCCATTCGAGGAAGCACCCCCTACCGATGATGCCGCCTGACCACCTCCTGCCGAAGAGGAAGCTGCAAAAGCAGGAGCTCCAACCGTGGACTCCAAGAATTGCTGATAATGAAGACGCGCCTCTTGATGAACTAATTTTGTGCATAATGAGTCAAAGGTGAGACCTTCAGGGAAAAGAGTAAGAGGTCCCACCAAGGACTCATATCCCGAGCCCAAACCATAAAGAGTATGTTGTAAGAGGTCAGAATCTGAAACCGGGGAATTGATGGAGGCTAAGGAGTCAGCAATATTCCTAATCCCGCGAACATAGTCTTCCATAGACTGATTAGGCTTCTTCCGGGTATGGGACAACATCTGTTTTAATTCCATTGATCGGGCAAGACTGGCAGCCATAAATCGGGACTCCAGTCGTTGCCAGATGGCGGTGGAATTTTTCAATTGGTGAACTTCCATTAAAATTTCACGAGAAAGCGTAGCAAACAACCAAGCCCGAACAGTTTGATCCAATTTTAGCCAATGATAATATTCAGGATTAATTGTTTGAGCCTGATATAAATCATAAGTATACAAAGATGGTGCCGGAAGAGTGCCATCAAGAATTCCCAAAAGACCATTAGCAACCAAAAAGGACTCGAATTGAGTTCGCCAAGGCAGGTAATCTTCAACAGCCAATAATTTGGTGGTCACAATTTGCGTAATAGATGCACCAAAAATCATACCTTGGGCTAAAGAAGCAAACGAAGCCAATATGGGAGTCTCCACCGGACGACGTCCGATTGATCCAGTCAACGGCGGGAGGACCAACCCTGGATTTCCGGACAAAGTCGGACCAGCAAAACGCGCCCGGGCAGCAGCCGTGATGCTTGACTCTGCGTGAGAGTCAGCAGAAAAGAAGGGCGACGGCTGAACTGTCGGCGGCGTAGGCGTCCAAGTGAAGATCGGTGGAACCCATGAGGAAGTTAGCGGCGAGCCTGACACGTCAAGGGGAGCGGTCATCTCTAGCGGCGCTATGAGGGACGGTGGCGGAGTGGTTGCGCTCAAGACCGGAGTGTCATCCGCCAAAGAAGACGTCATGGCGGTGGTTGAAGAAGACACGGCGGCGGCGGCTGAACCAGTCAAGGAGGCCATCGAAAAAAAATTTAATACTGCCTAAAACCTATGGCTCTTGATACCATGTGAGAATAATAGAAAGGCTTACCCAATAAGTAGCCCTAGGTGCCATATATATAATAAATAATGTTCTGAATACAATAGGAAACTTAATATTTAAGGAAACCTAATTAAAGTATTAATTGCTCTATTAGTAACCTCCTTCTTGAGCACCTCTTCTCCAAGATTTGAAAGATTCCCCCCTCTTGAATAACTCGTTTTGCTAAAAAGTACTATGGTATTCCTTCTTTTGTGACAACTTCAATAACCTTTCCCTTCCCTTGTTTTTGTGATTTATCCGAGGTAGTAACACTAACATCAGCATGTGTTTTTTATGCTAATCCTTTGAAAGATGATCAACACCCTTACTTTGTTGAGAGGGTCTGGCATGTCCTCCTAGTGAACAGCCTAACAGTCTGGAAAAGCTCCAATGAACCATGTCTTATCACAAACACAATCATAATTTTAAAACAAATTTATTAATGGCTAAACGCCATTCAATGCATAGTGATTAATTAAATTGAAGCGGCTTCGCCACAGAGCTATTCCCTCAATTTTTATGGGTACTATAGCATTCCCCATTATTAGAACTGATGAACCGGCCGGAGAAGCCAATTAACACGGCGGGAGTGGAGAACCGCACAAGCACTTGTTGTGGAAGTATGAATACTTGTCGAAACTCGTCTGCAGCCTCCCTTTAGGAATCTCGCCGCACAGTCTGTTGTAACTCACGTTGAACTGCTGCAGGTTTTCTGCCGCCGTCAGCGCCGCCGGCAGAGTCCCTGTGATCTGGTTGTGGTTCAGATCCAGCGCGATCAAGCTTTTCGAGAACCCCTCCACTTTGGAGAAATCGAACTGGAACGCGTTTCTCGACAGATCTATTGTCTGGGCGTTCTTGCTTTTCCCGAACAAGATCGACGCGTCGCCTTCCAGTCTGTTCCGGGACAGATCTATCCTCTCGAAGTCAAGATTCCCGAAGGACGCCGGCAGTTTTCCGGTCAGTTGGTTGTGGGAGAGGTACAGATCCGGCGCCGGCGAGAATTTCCCGAAGGATTCCGGGATGGGTCCGGTGAGTTTGTTCCTGTCCAAGTGGAGTGCCCCGAGATTCCGGAGCTCGCCGAGAGATTCCGGGATGGGTCCGGTGAAGTTGTTGAAGGAAAGGTCGAGGTACGTCAGGTTCTTCAGCTGGCTCAGGAACGCCGGGATTTGGCCGGAGAGACTCGTCCAGCTAATGTCCAGAGAAGTAAGGCGCGTGAGCTTAGTGATGGACGGCGGGATGGTTCCGGTGAGATTGGGAACGTGATGAAACATCAGCTGCGTGAGGTAGGGGAGACCGCCGACGGACGCCGGGATTCGGCCGGCGAAATCGGCCTGGAAGACGGTGAGGGCGGTGATGCGGCCGGTGAGTCGGTCGCATTTCACGACGTACCAGCTGCAGCAGTCCGTCGTTGGGTCCCACGAGGCCAAATGATAGGGATTGCCCAGATCTTTCTTGATTTGGAGGAGGGCCTTTTTGTCATTTGAGTTGCAACGCGGCCGGGCCGCGGCGGAAGGAGGCGGTGCCGAGAGACAGATGATGAGAAGAGAAAGATAAACAATGGGTAGAAATGAAGAAGAAGAAGAGGATATTGTACAATAATCCTTCATTTTTTCAAGCATGCACATGTGAAAATGGGTAGCCACTGTTTTATAGTGAAAGGTCTGAGAAGAAAAGTGCTTTACGAAAATGCTCGCTGTCTGTTCATATTTCAACAGTGTTTCCTCCCACAAGATATTGGTTCTCAAAATGTACAACTGCACAAGTCATTAACAAAATGATTTATGAATAAAAATATAACTTCTTCACTTTCAAATTTGCAAGTTAGCTAATTCACATTTTCGTAAATTAAAAAATTCAATGTGATAAATTTATACGATAGCCCTTCAAAGTTAAAATACAGAGTATATTTTATTAATAAAAGAAAAAGAAAAAGAATATAAATAAATAGTTAAAATCATTTTAATTACTACATAATGCAATACGTGAAATTCATAAATAGTTACGAGATTGTTAAAACTTAAGTAAAAAGACAGATACGTCAAATAGGGAATTTACCAAACATGGTTTTATTGATAAATAAAAGTAATTCACGCATTAATATACAAATATGCAAGTTAGCTCGTGAGGTAGATTATTGCGGGCAGAGAATAACAAATTTAGATTGTTATTAGTAGGCGTCAAGTACACTAGAGCTCGTGCTGTAGCTAGGATGATTACCAATGCTTATCGTATGTTTTTTTTTATACCATATTTCTAGTTTTATTAATAATGAAATGAACTAGATATTTTTTTCAAACGGAGACTTTTTTGTTAATCTTCAAACAAAGACTTTAAAGTCAGCAACAAATGATTTATCATTGTCAACATAATTAACTAGAGCACCTAATTCTTGAATCTAATTCTTGAAGCAACGCCACTAATTCTTGTTGGTTCCAACTCTGTATTTCATACGGAGTACTAGACATAGTTTAGAACTATCTAACAACATTATAATTTTAAGCAGTATCCTTGATTTGTGTTAATCTAAACCTAGTTACTCCACCCGTGCTACGCACGGGAGTGAAGTACATGAAATGTTTGTATAGATCATATATAAACTCAAAGAATTTCATAGTCAATCAACCTTACTCAAAACATAAAATTAAAAACTAAAACAAAATAATTAAATTAAAGTATAAAATAAAACAAGTATTCATATTTAATACAAAATTAAAAAAATAATACTCAAGGTTAAGTACGATGTAAAGCAAGGGAACTATAAATTACTATAAACTTCTTGATATACTACATTCAAAGCTGACTTCGTTGGTTTCTCTTCTTCGTCACATATAACAAACTTTAACCCAGATAGACTTGTTATTCTCGAGACTGCCACATATAATTCTCCATGCTTAAAAACAGGCTACTGCTATATAAACAACAGATATAAAATGAACAACTGTGAACCTCGACATTGACCACCTGTGATGATTAAGAGACAAAACTCACAAATTTACCAAAGTTGTTTAGTTTTATTTTGAATTTTAAAACAACATTTCATATTCAAATGCAAAACAGAGACATAAAGAAGGAAATGGAATATAAACAAATACACTAAAAAAAGATTGAAATTGAAACAAAGATGATCTACTAGAAAATAGGAATGCGAAGTATGTGGTTCATGAGTATGAATTGTTTGAAGGATGAAAGGGATAAGAGGATGGGCGTGAACAAACCAGATATCTTCAGGGAATTGAAGCCGTACTTGACGAGGTCTTCGTCCTCGTATTGTATAATAATTCTTGGAAAACTGTCAATTTGATTCTCGTATTTTTGTGAAAAAGTCAATTATGTCCCCGTATTTTTAAAAAGATCAATCAAGTTCTCGAACTTTGTAAAAATGTTCAATTGAGTACCTTTGTATGTTACTTGTCAGGTCAGTAGGTCAGCCCAATCATCAATATTTTGCTGACGTGGCACACATGTGGAAGTCTAGTCAGCCATTTGTTGATGTCGTGGCGCACACGTGGACCACCATGTATACTCAATTGAACGTTTTTAAAAAGTTCGAGGATTTGATTGATCATTTTAAAAAGACGAGCACCTAATTGACTTCTATCTATTTATATACTCCCTCCGTTTCTAAAAGAACCTCACACTTTCCTTTTTTGGATGTGCCAAAATAAAAGTCACACTTCCCTTATTTCCTTATTTGGCAAAGAAATCTACATCCAAACAGTGTCAAACAGTGCCAAACAGTGTCCAAACAGTGCCAAACAGTGTCTAAACAGTGTTTTCTACAGTAAAGTCAATTTATTTCCTTAATAATCGTGAAGTCAAACCGTGACTTTCTTTTAGAAACGGAGGGAGTATAAGAAAACAAATAGCTCCTTAAAAGACAATTACATCCTTCATTAATCCTTTGTGTCTATCTCCACACAATTTGCTCCTTTACTATAACAATGCCATGTGGCAAGTTTCAAGGATAATACGGCAATATCAACACCAAAGGGAGGTTGCTATATAATCTCAAAAAAACGTGGCTTCAAATATGTGGGCCCCAATGTATAAAAAACACCATTTTCTTTAAAGTGTTATAACTTTTTAACCGTTTATCTAATTTTTATGAAAAGAATATCAAAATTCATAATTTTTTACGACCTTTCATATGACACCAATATAACATATATAAATTTAAAAGACTCTGAAAATTTATTAAACAACCTTCATATTTTTCAACATCAATATCATTCCGTATAAAATAATAAAATAATTATTAACATATGAACAAAATAAGGATAATATATAAAAACATGATTTTCTTAATTTTTAGTGACTATAGTTATATTTATATTTACATTAATGTGACAATATGAAAAAATGTCTCAAATAAATATTTATGGACAAAAATGTCACTAACTTTGGTATGAGTACACTTTTATAGTCACTTTATTATGCATTATTATAAGATAAACAAGACTATACATCCCAAATCAATAAGTAACATTTTTATGCATTGTCCTTATTTTGGTCATAATTATGAATCATCTCTCCATTTAATAAAAAATAATTTGTATCGAGTAAAAAAAATTAATTTTAATATATGCCCAAAATAATAATAATACATATTAAATGATTTATTAATTTTTAGTGACTAAACTAATGTTTAAAATTATATCAAAGTACCGTAAGGAAAACTTCTCAAATAAACATTTATGGACATAAATATAATTGGCAGGACCCAATGTATAAAGCCCCTCATTTTCTTCAAAAGCTTATAACTTTTTCATTTTGACTCTAATTTTTTCAAACCATATATCAAAATTCCAATTATTTTACATTCATATGATACCAATATTGCTTATAGAAATTTAAAAAAATGAAAGTCTATTAAGGATAATGAATAACAATATGATTTATTGACATTTAGTGACTATAATAAAAAAAAAACTAGCTCTTATATAATAAAAAATGCTTATATGCTAAATTTTCATTTAAATTTACGTACCGTTGGGTGATCATATTTTTGAACTTATTAATCTTATCAGTTAATTTTTTATATCAAATATTAACAAGATGTTAACAATTTAATTAGATATTAAATATCTCATATTATTCTCTAGAATATAATTATGTGCATGTCACAATTGGGAGAGTTGCAAAGTTTATAGTTGGAAAAAACAAATGGAGCTATGAAGCTTGCTCCATGTGCATTACAAAGGCTAGAAAGCGGATTAATTACTTCACATGCAAATGTGGTAAATATAACTAGAAGCATACTCTAAGTTTTTTGTTATCTGGATAAATATGTCAATTCTACTATTATTTTTGTATGGTCTGATTTGTCATCACGTTAATATAATGCCAATGTTAAATAGTGCTAATGTTGGAAGATATCACCCATGTGGAGGTTTTAGGTATAAGAACATAAACTTGCTAATCTTTGAACGAGACAAATTTGTCTATCATGCATATGTAGCGTCTTTAGGTATTAGAAAATAGAAAATAAGCTTTCTAACAATTGAGCAGAGAATTGAGCGGGATAATTTTCTATCTCATACGTAATGCTTTTAAATATTCGAAGATAAGTTTGCTAACAATTGAACGGGATACATTTCTCTCTCATATGTTGTGATTTTAGGTATTAGGAGATAAACTTGCTAAAAATTGAGCGGAAAAACTTTAAGTCTATATGTAGTTCTTTCAAGTATAAGATAAGTTGGCTAAAAATTGAGACTGAGAAAGTTATCTCTCTCATATGTATAAGATAAGCCGACTAACAATTGAGCGGGAGAATTTTCTCTCTCATATGTAGTGGTTTTAGGAATAAGAAGAAGAAGATAAGCTTGCTAATAATTGATCGGTACAAATTTCCCTATCATATGTAGTGTTTTTAGGTATTAGAAGACAAACTTGCTAACAAATGAGCACGAGAATTGAGCAGGATAACTTTTTCTTTCATATGTAGTATTTTTAGGTATTAGAAGTTAAACCTGTTAACAATTTAGCGGTGTAATTTTACTTTCATATATAGTGCTTTTAGTATGAGATAAATCGGCTAACAATTGAGCCGGAGAATTTTCCCTCTCATATGTAGTGATTTTAGGTATAAGAAGATAAGCTTGCTAATAATTGAGCGGGAGAAATTTCTCCTATTATATGTAGTGTTTGTAGGTATAGAAGATAAGATTGCTAACAATTAAGCAGGGGGATTGAGCGGGATAGTTTTCTCTATCATATGTAGTGTTTTTAGGTATTAGAAAATAAGCTTTCTAACAATGGAGTGCAATAACTTTCTCTCTTATATATAGTGCTTTTAGGTATAAGATAAGACGACTAACAATTGAGCGAAAGAATTTTCTCTCTCATATGTAGTGGTTTAGGGTATAACAATATAAGCTTGCTAATAATTGAGCGGAAGAAATTTCTCTATCATGTGCAAGGCTTTTAGGTAATAAAAGATAAGTTTGCTAACAATTGATCAGGGGAATTGAGCGGAATAATTTTCGCTCTCATATGTAGTGCTTTTAGCTATTAGAAAATAATTGTCCTTACAATAAGTGCTTCATATTCAGTAAAGTTTGATATATTATAAAAATATATCAAAATTCATAATTTTTTACAGTCTTTCATATGACATCAATATTTAATATATATAATTTAAAACAATTATGAAGGTTTATTAAAGCTTCCTATTTTCCAATCACGATATCCATTATTCTGTATTAAATGAATAAATAATTTCTAATATGTAACTAAAATAAGGTTAATGGATACACATACGACTTATTAATTTTTAGTTACTATAATTGTTGTTAAAATTATATCAAAGTGACTAGAAAAAGGATGCTAAGCGTAGTTATCATCAAGAATTTATTTGAATACCTTCCCGATTGAAGTTTTAGCTGAAATTTGGTATGAGTAAACTAGACTTAATGAATAAGATGTTCAAAAAACTTTATAAAAAAATTCCACCGGGAACCACCCCAAATGGTGTCAGCTGAACAGAGCATCCTATAGAAGGCCTTATTTGACCTTTTTATGTAGGTTCGAGGCCCTATTTGACCCTTTTCCCAGATTATATCTTTTCTATCATAATTTTAATTCGCAAATTGCAACAATTTTATTGTGATCATTTGAATAATCACTCCATATATTCATTCTATATAGTCACTACTATTTATTTTTTAGCATCATTATAAATTGGTGCTTAACGAAA